TTCTGTTTTAAAGAATGTTTTTGTGTTCTTGAAGTTGAATTGTTAATAAAAGGCCATGATGGCCATTTTACTCCAATAGTGGTTTGGTCTCCTTTATTGAGAGTTGGGGGATGGGAATATGGAGTGAAAGAGAGAGAGTTGTGTAGGGGATGGTTCAGCAGCTATGGTCTTAATTAGCAGTTGTTAATAAAAGGCCGTGATGGCCATTTTACTCCAATGGTGGTTTGGTCTCCTTTTTTGGTATATTGAGAGTTGGGGGAGATTGGGGATATGGAGTGAAAGAGAGAGAGTTGTGTAGGGGATGGTTCAGTAGCTATGGTCTTAATTAGCAATTGTTAATAAAAGGCTGTGATGGCCATTTTACTCCAATGGTGGTTTGGTCTCCTTTACTGAGAGTATATTGAGAGTTGGGGGGATGGGGATATGGAGTGAAAGAGAGAGAGAGTTGTGTAGGGGATGGTTCAATAGCTATGGTCTTAATTAGCACATCTCCTCTACACTAGTCATGGGTTCAACAATGTAACTGAGAGCAATTGAAAGGCTGGATGTAAAGGGATTCCAGGAGCAATGTTTCTTTTTATAACATTGGGAGTTATAATGAGAATAAAACAAAGAAGCTTTTATTTAACACTCCTTTTAAATAAGATTTCAGCCATTGTCCAATAGTTTGCCCAAACCTTTCTATGGCTGACCTGGAGGGTGCTGTGCCGCACTTGTATGGCACCTTGGGTGTGGTGAGCTGCGACGCATTGAAATGTTGATCATGATGAATGCTCCTCTTATGGTCTCCTACTATATATGCTATATTTATATTAAAAGAAAAATATATATTTGGGGTTTTCTGACCCTTTAAATAGAGACGTCCTAAAACCATTAGAGCGATGAGGCTTCCCAATCTGGTCACCTCTCTGCATCTCCCTGCCTAGGCGTTCCCCTCCCCCAGTCTTGCTTGCTAACAGCTACAGGAAGACGAGACTTAAACGGAAACCCACAGGGAGGGGAAGAAGCAACTGACACCTGCAGGGGAGCTGCAAAGCTCAGTGTAACTAACAAACAGATAACACTGTTTTTATATAGAGATCAGGGCAAACAAGTTGAAGGGAAGCCTTGCCAAGCTGCAAACTTTTCCCGACTACAACTTGGCCGTCTCTCGAAAGAGGTTCATGACTCACTGTTGTACGATTGGCTGACCATCAACATAGCCATTGCAAAATAGTAATGCTGGCCACACATTTTGCAGTTTCGTAAAACGTTGATGTGTAAAGAATTTGTATATGTGTTAAGTAAGGTGATGAGCAAAATAAACTGACTATAGTATATGACGCCTGAAGTTTTTTATATGGTTGCTAAATGGTTAGCACTTCCGCCTGGCATTACTAAGGTCGTTGGTTCAAATCCCAGCCACGGTACCACCTGCCTGGAGTTTGCATGTTCTCCCTGTGACTGCGTGGGTTTACTCCGGGTACTCTGGTTTCCTCCCAGACTCCAAAGACATGCTGGTAGGTTAATTGGCTCCTGTCTAAATTGTCCCTAGTATGTGTATGTATGAATGTGAGTTAGGGACCTTAGATTGTACGCCCCTTGAGGGTTAGGGACTGATGTGAATGTACAATATATGTATGTAAAAGTGCTGCGTAAATTGACGGCGCTATATAAGTACCTGAAAATAAATAAATAAATATGACATATAATATCTGATCTACAAATCTCCCTGAGAGGGGGGAAAAAAAAAAACGATGAACGCCAATCAAATATAACAAAACCTAAAACAAAGCAATTTTGTCAAAATGAATACGTCATTGAATGTAGTGTTTTATATGTAAGCCGTGTAAGTACCTACACTTGACTTGCTCAGCGGCCACTTTATTAGGTACATCTGTTCAATTGGTTGGTAACAAAAATTGCTGATCACCCAATCACAATGCATTTAGGCATCTAGATGTAGTGAAGACAACTTGCTGAAGTTCAAACCGAGCATCAGAAAGGGGATTTAAGTGACTTTGAACGTGGCATGGTTGTTGGTGCCAGGTAGGCTGGTCTGAGTATTTCAAAAACTGCTGATCTGGGATTTTCACACACAACCATCTCTAGAGTTTACAGAGAAGGGTCCGAAAAAGAGAAAATATCCAGTGAGTGGCAGTTGTCTGGACAGAAATGCCTTGTTGATGTCAGAGGTCAGAGGAGAATGGGAGACTGGTTGCTGCAACATTCAGATGGTAGGGGTCAGATTTTGGTGTAAACATGAAAGCATGGATCCATACTGCCTGTATCAACAGTTGAAGCTGTTGGTGGTGTAATGGTGTTGGGGATATGTTGGCCACTAGAGGTGGACCTATTAAATTGGACGGTGAGTGGGGCCTTAGGACCAGCCTCTTGCAGTCCCTGTACAGCAAAGCTCAGACTGGGATTGGCAGGAGCAGCACAAAGAGCCAATTTTTATAACCAGGAACATGATAATAGGAGAAGAGAGCAGAGAGATGAGCTCATCAGTGTGTTGCTTCAACTTTCACAGTTCAGTTACACGGTGGGGAAAGGGCAAGACTTCAAGTGTTACATAACAGAAGAAGAAGAAAATAAGGTCTCCTTCCCTTCCAGACAGGACTGTGCTGTATACATCTCAGGACTGGATGGAAAGAAATACAACTTTTTTGGCAGATAAAACAGCTCATATAAATGTAACAGTTTGAGAAGCGTTCACCTTTAAATACTAACATGTTTATTGTTTTACCTGCCAAAGGATTTTCACCTGTTAGTCAGATACTACCTATTTGATTGTCCCCTTCCCCAACACCCAGTGGTATCGGGGGGGGGGGCAACGCACAGACATATGAAACTGGCTACAGTTCAGTGGGTATCATAACCCTAGATATACCCATGGCTGCTTGGTCTTGGCGATGACTGGTGATAAATTTGGGTCCCCCATTAATTGTGGGGTATTGTGGATTTTATCAACTGAACATTATTGTATCCTGTGATACAAGGCCAGACCCTGAGGTGTCTTCTGCTTCTCATTTACATTATCATGGAAGCAAGGACAGTGCCATCTTAATAGCATCATGGGCCCCTGGGCAAAATAATGCACTGGGGCTCCTACCAAGAAAATGGTGGCCTGCGGTGCATGTAGCACGCTGTGACAAACAGTGGGTGTGGATTTTTAGTCTGATTTAGAAATTTTAATCTGATCCTTTTTAAAAATTTTAAAAATAAAAAGGGGGGGGGGGTTGTCTTTGGTGAGACATCAGGGGTCTAAATAGACCTCTCAAGTCTTACTTTGAGACAGAAAGGGACTAAGGAATCACATTCCCCAGTTTCATTCTACAGCCTCAGCTGCACTGCAGATTAATGAATAGGAGACAGGCTCCTGTTCATTCATACACTGAAGCCTAGTAAACACAGTTTACAAGGCTTCAATCATGAATGAACACTGTGAGTGATCGGTACCGTGTTCATTTAGAGAGGGAAGGGGCCAGAAAAATACGCATTTACCAGCCCCTTACCCATCTCTCCATCCTGTATAGATCCCCCGAAGCATCTGGTAGGAGAGAAGGGGAGTCGGCAGCCCTGCTCTGTCGGCGTACAGGGGCCCAGGCATCGGGAGAATTTGATAGTGGACAGGTGGGGGTGATCAGTATGGCGGGTGGGGGAAATTACTGGAATTTATATTTTATGGCTCTTCCAGCTTTCAGCTGCTGAATTAAAAGCCACACAGAAGATTGGTTCCAGGTATTTTCCCCATCTGCATGTTGGTCACCTCCTCCTGTCCACTTCTGATTGCCCCTGCTGGAGGAAAACTGCAAGGGACCCCCCATGTACCTGGGGCCCCTGAGCAGTGCCCAGGGGTGCCAGTATGAAAAGACAGCCCTGCGCAAGGAGATAAAGCATGCATGTTAACATAAGTTGTTCTGTAGTTGGATTGCACACGTTTTCCAATCTCCATGTTATGGATGAAGTGGTTTTATTAATGGTTCTGTCTGATACTGTTGTCTCTTTTCAGGAAGCTATGAATCTCCCTCCAGATAAGATCAGCGTTCTCCGGCAGTATGACCAAGACAAGAAATGGGAGCTGGTGTGTGATCAGGTAAGTGGGAGTTTGTGTGGACATTATGCTCCACTATGTTGATCTTATGCTTCATGGTCTTCATAGGAGTTGCAGCAAGTTTGGTTCAACCTTTTGTGTTACCACCTGTGCATGCCTTAACACAGATCTGTTTTATCAGGAAAGGTTCCAGGTGAAGAACCCGCCAGCCACCTACATCCATAAACTGAGAAGCTATGTGGACACGGGTGGAATCAGCCGGAAGGTAAGCTACAACAGGAATGTCTAAAGCTGTCTCTACAATCCTATGCAAATGACGTTCAGGAAAGTGAAGACTGACTTCCAGGCACAGATCTGCACTGTATTTGCCATAGTGACCCCTGTATAGGTTTCTCAGAGAAGTGGGACAATAGTGAGTGCACCATTCTATTGTCAAACCGTAAACCTAGCTAATACTTTTTGAGTTTCTGCATCCCCTTCATCATGGCTAAATAAAAATGTGAAATTGAAAATCATACAGACTATACCTTTCAACAGTTATGTAATGTAGGCGGACTACAGCCAGTCTTAAAAAGAATCCAGGGGTATGGACAGTGGAGCTGGATCCAACATTATAAAGTCCTTAGGAAGTACATGGATTGGCATTGATCCTGTTCAAGAGAATAATGGCAGCTCCTAGACCAAAGTCGTACCAACAGTCAGTAAACCTATAGAAAATGTCCATAAATATACTGTATGTATTAGGCTTGCCAATGGGAGAATTTCACTTTAATGGGTTACATTTGGTGGGCACTAAGCACTCTGACAGAGTTGGGGGGTACGATTACCGCTTTGCGCTCGCTGCTTGTGTACACCCCGCCAAATCCACCCCCCCATCCCCCAACCACACCTGTGAATGAGCCATAATGGAGAGGAGCAGAAGATCTATGACCTAACCTACTGTATGTGAATGTCTTAATTTTAGTTCAAGAGAAGAGTTCAAGAATCCACACAGGTTCTAAGAGAACTAGAGATCTCCTTACGGACCAATCACATTGGGTGAGTGTTGCATTCTACTGAGATCAAAAACTTCTGCTCTTCCACTGAATCCTCCATGTTTGTATTGTATGGGTTTAGATACATCCCCTTCACACTAAAGCCAGTAATATGTGTGAATTAGGGAAATTACTCAATTTTCCTAAACGTGTGGATGGATGAATCTGCAATGCTGACTATTGTATTCTGACAGCCAAAACTCACGGTCATTGGATACAGGCACTATTTGGCCAAGGATTTTCTGACCATCTCCTTTGACAACAGTTGGTTGAAAAATCGACTCTTGTCCAGCCAGGTGGTGCCAACAGGGCCAACAAAGGAACAAATTTCAGCCAAATCGGCAGGAATTGCAAATAGGCACATAAATAGGATTTTATAGGTACCAAAAAACACTGAGCAGAAATAAAACATGCATTTTATTCAATAAATAAAAGATGAAATCATAGTTTACATACACGTATATGCTTGCGACAAATACGCTATATTAGATCATTCAAATGTACCTCTGAATGAACACTTCTTACTGTATATCCATATTTTACTGTGTATCGTAACAATAGGTTAAGTGGCACAGGACAAGATAGCTCTGTTACATATGACTGCTCTATGTAGTGCTCCATGAAACTTTTCCAATGCATGGTGGAGGTGTATTGTGGGTCAACCCATTTTGTATTCAGCTTCATCAGGTAGACGGAGGTAATATTCTGTGCATTACAGGTTGGATGTGTATTGAATGCCGCAAGCCTATAACTAATAAAACACCTTCTTTGGTTGGGACTGCAGGGGAAGATATGAGGAGTCACAATTCTGTCTCTTTGCGCTTCATATTCCTCTTGGCATAATAGCCCAATGGAGACCACCACTGGATTCCAGTAATGGTCACTATCCAGATCACTGTAATGCTCCTCCTCATATGTCTTCCCCATGTGCCAGCAATGGTCGCTATCCAGATCACTATAGTGCTCCTCCTCATATGTCTTCCCCATGTGCCAGCAATGGTCGCTATCCAGATCACTATAGTGCTCCTCCTCATATGTCTTCCCCATGTGCCAGCAATGGTCGCTATCCAGATCACTATAGTGCTCCTCCTCATATGTCTTCCCCATGTGCCTGCAATGGTCGCTATCCAGATCACTATAGTGCTCCTCCTCATATGTCTTCCCCATGTGCCTGCAATGGTCGCTATCCAGATCACTATAGTGCTCCTCCTCATATGTCTTCCCCATGTGCCTGCAATGGTCGCTATCCAGATCACTATAGTGCTCCTCCTCATATGTCTTCCCCATGTGCCAGCAATGGTCGCTATCCAGATCACTATAGTGCTCCTCCTCATATGTCTTCCCCATGTGCCAGCAATGGTCGCTATCCAGATCACTATAGTGCTCCTCCTCATATGTGCCACTTCCCCATGTGCCAGCAATGGCAATCGCTATCCAGATCACTTAGAGTGCTCCTCAATGGTCTCAGATCACTATAGTCTCCTCCCCCATGTGCCAGCAATGTGCTTCCAGATCACTCCTCCTCATATGTCTTCCCCATGTGCCAGCAATGGTCGCTATCCAGATCACTATAGTGCTTCTCCTCATATGTCTTCCCCATGTGCCAGCATCAACAAAATGTCACCAAGAATCGATCTGTGTGAGTTTAAAATACCACTTGATGAGTGTGATAACGTCTCCGTGGTAATGGTTTTAAATGATGCCTCTGTAGACAGGCAATTTACTGAAAACTAAAAGTGAGAGAAAAATGAGGAAGAGGTTTAGGAAATTTGAAATTATTTCTAGACTACTTTTGGATAGCTTTTAAATAAAAGTAAACCACCAAATTTTATTCAGCTAAGCTCAGAATATTGTATAGGGCCACTTAATTGCTTGATTTTTTTTTTCTTTTTTTTTTTTTTCTTGGCCTAGAGAGCTTTTCATTGGCTGAGAGCTTGTTCACATCACAGTGCATGCATTTGTGCACACATAACATATATGTGCTGGCATGTGTCTTTTTGCACTGTCATGCACTGCACCACACTGCAATGCATTTATAACATGCATTGCAGTGCATTGTTTTTGTTTTGTTTTTTTAGTTTTTGATTGTGTGCAGTTTTGTTTTTGGTTTTTTTTCTTGTTTTTTTTTTTTTTTTAATTCTTTATCAGTGTCAACAAGGTTACATACATTTAAGAAGCCAAACATGATATTGATTATACCAAGAACATTCCATTTTAACAGCTGGAATCCACAGACACAATGGCAGACACAATGGGGTTGATTTACTAAAAGTAGATGCAAAATCTGGAGCAGCTCTGCTTGGTAACCAGCTTCCAACTTCAGCTTGTTCAATTAAGCTTTGACAAAAAAAACAAAACTGGAAGCTGTGCAGAGCTGCACCAGATTTTGCACGCTTCAGTTTTAGTAGATCAACCCCAATGTCGTGCATGTGGTTGTATTTTTATACTGGGAACCAAATAAGGTGAGTACACCATTCACATGCCTGTGCAGTTAATAAAAATCAGTTAAATAATTATTTTAAGTGCATCATACCCCATAAATACAAAGTGCAATACATTTGATAGAAATAAATAAATGTAAAATCCCCAATTCATGAAATCAAATAGAAATAGTTTCAGCTTATATGTGTGAAAAATTGACTGTTTTTCCCTCAATTTGGAGCCAATTAAATCAATAACCAAAGGAAAGGGTTAAAGGAAATAAGCCTAGGGTATAAAGCCAAGGATCATTATTACCTATAGCAAGGGTGAATGCTACTGGGAAGGGGTGGGGGCATGAAACACTAAAAAACCTGGGCAGGGTCGGTCTAAGATGGGGGCTGACCAGGGGTGGACTGACAACTCATGGGCCCCCCGGGCAATAGGGGATCATGGAGCCCCTGTGTCCTTTCCCAAACTCAAAAAAGCCTATGAAAAAGGTACCAGGGGCATCTCATGGGGCCCTCTACTGACACCGGGCCCTCAGGCGGTGCCCGAGTTTCCAAATTGTCAGTCCACCCATGGGGTTGACTATGTGCTATATCTATGATCTGCAGCTAGTTGCATTGGCAATAAGTGTGCAAACATGTACTTTTTATTTTGAAGCCCAATATTGCAGGTGTGACCGAATCCTGAAGAATCCTCCAGTTTGTGTGTGTGTGTGTGTGTGTGTGTGTGTGTGTGTGTGAAGCATTAAAGCTGATCCAAATAGCTGAATATTTCCTGATAAAACATGTGAATATCTACAATTGGTCTTGTGTTTCTTGCATAAGATGGTGTAAGGCTCCTTTATTCTGTTCACAGTTGGGTGGAAGAATTCCTGAGTCCAGAGGTTGGTGGCCTTGAAGCTCTAGTGGAGTACCTGTCCTATGCTCAGTGCTCCTTCCCGTAAGTCAACACATCTAAACAATGACATTAGAATGCTTTGTGTGCAGTTACATGCAGATGCCATAGTTGTTTAGATATGTCTTGTCCAACCCTTTCCACCTTTCCAATTTCAGGCTATTTCAGGCTATTCACTGTCTTTTAACTTCTTTCTCTATTCCAGGCTAGATATGGAGAGTTCAGACAATGGGACGCCGGAGAAATCAAAATCCTTACAGAGGTCAATGGAGGATATTAACAAAAGCAGCACATCTTCTTCTCCTGCAACCATTCCTTCACGTGCCCGCAACCTAACCACCAAGTAAGTCATATGTGACCATGCATGGGATCACCACTTGATCTCAGGCTATTCCTTCCATATTTGAGCACCAGTAGGTCATTACTTACATAGACACTGACTCATTACCAGCTCAAATAGCCTCTTACGAACCTTTGTCTGCTAGAATAACCTTTTCACAGCTATAACTACACAACTTGTTGTATTTGTCTTGTTTTTTTTTTCTGTTTTGTATTTGCTTTGCATTATGTATTTTATTTGCATTGTATTACATACAATGCTGTTGAGCAGTGGTCTCCAAACTGTGGCCCGTTGGCCAGATGTGGTGCTTTACTTGCTTTTTTCTAGCCTTTGGGGCACTATTCCATCCACTGACCCCAGTGATGGGGCACCATTGCTCCTACAGACACCAAAGATGGGGCACAATTGCTTCTACTGACGCTAATGATGGGGCACCATTCCTCCCACAGACATCAATGATGGGACACTATTCCTCTCCTGAATACCAACAATGGGACATTATTTTTTCCACTAGAACCAAAGATGGGGAACTGTTTATTCCCACTGAAGTCAGAAAATTTTCTGTGCCCACTGGCCAGTCTAGGCCCCCTAAAGCCTGTAGGAACAGTAAACAGGCCCTTTAATTAGAAAGTTTGGAGACCGCTGCTATTGAGGAACAGAACATCTTGTTGGAAAATCAGTCCATTGCGAACAAGGATACAATGAACAAGGAGCATGATATTACAATGACGCTGGTAGTTTAGACTCATAGAGTGAACCAGTCTGGATGAAAATAAAACAGGTGTCAGTGCTGACTGCTTTTTAAAAATGCATGCTTTCATATAAAGCTGGCGATGCATGGCTTGAATTCCGGCCTGTGTATCTCTGAACACATGGTTAAAAATGAAGAAATTGACAACAACCAATCAGCAATGCTTTGACTGTTCTAAACTTTTCTATTGATAACTGACATCTGATTGGTGACTGTAGATCACTGTAAATTAGTGCTCGTTCACTTGCCTGTTAAAGAGATTTCTATGTGCAAGCTGAACAAAATAAATCTAACAGATTCCTCCATCTACTCTGAACAGTGAGAATGGAATAATCTCCTCTGATGGCTAGTGCATTCTGACAGCTGGCCCCAGCAACAGTCAGAATATCCAAACAGTACCTGCAGTTGTTTGGCCAAAATTGTTGAGCTGGGTGATGCTGACAGGGGCACCCATGGCTTGAGATTTATACGGAATCAGCTGAAATACAAGCCATGTATGGCAACCTTACGTTTTGACCTTTATACCTCTGTGCTGCTGTCCATGTTGTCTCATTGGTGTCAAGAAATGTCTAGCAAGCTGACTTCACGTGTGCCCTAACAGATACAACTTTTACAACCGCGCTACAATGAGGAACTCTCGGCATGCTAACATGAAGGATGACGTACACGTGTGTATCATGTGCTTGCGGGCAATCATGAACTACCAGGTTTGTACCAGGAAAACCTAAATTGATTTAATTGACATTAGCTAGCTCAGAAGAATGAAATGGGAATGTTCTGGTCTCTCCGTCAACCTTGGTAGACAATTGAAATGGTATTCTCCCTTTATATACATTAGAACAGAGTTTCTCAACATTTTTTCAGTCAAGGCACCCTTTAATATCCCGCACATTCCTGAGGCAAATATAAAATATAAAGATATAAATTTAATAGCTTTCCATAACACTACAACATCCATATATGTAGGGCACCCAGAATTGGAGGTGATTTATTCTAACAAAGCTAATACATCTTTGTATACTGGTGCGAACTAGTATTACACCATTCCTCTTCTCCCTCACTCAGCTAAATGACATCAGGGCTGATGGAGAGGGGCAAACATAGATGGAGGCGCCTGATGTCCTCCCTTATCAACTAATTCATAGGCCAATGGCTGACCCTCACAGTGCCCAAGGTTGTAACGCTGCACTTGCCGGCTTGTTGACAAATAGGGTCAATTTCTAGGCATTTTGCCAAGGCACCCCTGAAGAACCCAGAAGGTACCCCAGGGTGCCTGGGAATCCTGGTTGAAAAAAACTTACACTAGAACAATAACAATATAAACTACATTGTAGAATGTAATAAAATTTTCATTCTGACATATGAGTAACACAAGTATAGGGAGAGTTTGAGGTTTCCCAGAAAGGTGATCCATCAATCAATGAGGCATGACCTTGTCAAGAGGTGACACATATCTGAAACTATTGTCTTTTGAAAACTAAAGTGATGTGGGTCTGTGAGTTATACATATCAGCTATATACACATACACAAGCACAGTATATGTTTAATCCCTTGCCGCATGAGGACATACATCTTCAGACCTCATTGCATTCTGCTGAATAATGGAAACTAAATTCCAGCCACATGATCAGTGGAATTTTGGCCACAGGACCTCTGGAGGTGGATATTGGGGACTGGGGTACTGACTTTTGGACGGAGCCAGACAATCAGTAGAACACTGGTGACTTAATCTCTAGAGGAGGATCTTGGGGTAGAGATTCAGGCAGAGCCAGACCCACAGTGGAGCTTCAACCACATGGTCTCTGGAGGAGGAACTTGGGACATAACATTGAGGCAGATATCAGATTCAAAGTGTATTCAAAGCCCAAACTGTTTTTCTTGTTTTACTGCTCTCGGGCTCTGTTAGATAAATTTCTCCTTACTATCTGTTTTGGGGACAGTCTTTTACCAGACAGGAAGTTAGAGAAAATCTGCAACAGGAAACCGGCCTAATTAAATGGCCCTTGGTGTACGCCGTGCCAATGCATTGATGTGGGCTCATCACATGCTTTAGTTTTCTTTTTGTTAGAACTTTATTGAAATGTCACAAGTTCTATTCACACAGAAGTGTTGCGATACAGTAGTTTGTTTTAGCACATTGGGTTGTGACAAAGTACTGCAGTCTTGTAATGGGATTGTGCAGGGCAAGGTGTGAACGTGCCATTAAGTAAAACATTGTACAGGAGTTAAAACATGGACCTTTAATGCATTAATGCCTGTAATGAGGAATGGAAAACAGAAATAGTCTAAATCCAATTGTCACTCGCATTCCTTAGGATGTAACCAGGAGAGCGAAGGTTAAAAATTGTTGTAATTGCTGGGCTCACACACAAAATTTGGCTGCTGGAGTCCCTAAAGGATAAACAGGACTCAGTGGGGAAATCCACCAAAATAAACTTAGAAGACCACCGATTGGGGGGAAGGGGGGGGTCATCAGTCTACGGTTTGAATATATCTGGTCAGTCTGTTGGTAACTAGAGCCATAGGTGTATTGATATATATTGTATTCAATTATGGTGTCTTCTTCCCCATACAGTCAGGATTCAGTATGGTGATGTCCCATCCCTCCTGTGTCAATCAGATTACTCTCAGCCTCACCAACAAGAACCCCCGGTGAGTAGAGCCTGTGATGGAAACTGATGTGCGATCACCTGCTTTGTTTATTTTTTCAGGACGTTCTCTATCTTCCTTTTCCTTCTTCATTCCTTTCCAACTGCCAACTTCTATACTATCTAAAGGGAAGCCTGTCATGAGCTGACACAGAGTCTGCCATTACTTACCTCTACTTCTTGAAATTTAAAGTACCTGGCTGTCATGTTGAGCCTCTTACTTCAATATTTTGAGACCCCAATCCAGAACAGCAACATATAATGACTTTTCCCAGACTTTCCTGCTTTGCATTCGTATTTCTGGCCAGTAAATCAAGTACCAAAGCCAGTGGGCCAGTGTAGCAGTCAGGAAACTAGCTCCGCAATGGCAGCCCACATCAGGGGCGAACTGACCATTAGAGTACTCCGGCACTGCCCGAGGGCCCAGGGTCGGTAGGGGGTCCCATGAAATGCCCCTGGTACCTTTTTTATAGGCTTTTTTGGGTGTGCTTTGAATGTGGTCAAGGACACAGGGGCCCCATGATCCCCTATTTCCGGGGGGCCCCATGAGCTGTCAGTCCTACCCTGGCCCACATACTTCTTTTCTGAAGGGTTCATTAAAAAGCACACCGTTTAGTATACATTTAAGTCCTTTTCGAGCACCATATGCCTCCACCTTTCCCTTTCCTCTGTTGCCACATTTGCACCAATAGGTTTGACAGGGTCAACATGTTCAGAACAACTCAACACCATCAATTCCCCAACTCTTGTTTCTTACAGCTGTTGTGCTAGCATACCAAGATCTAATTTATTCTTCCCAAAATTATATATATATATATATATATATATATATATATATATATATATATATATATATATATATATATATATACAGTCAGGTCCATAAATATTGGGACATCAACACAATTCTAACATTTTTGGCTCTATACACCACCATAATGGATTTAAAATGAAAAGAACAAGATGTGCTTTAACTGCAGACTGTCAGCTTTAATTTGAGGGTATTTACATCCAAATCAGGTGAACGGTGTAGGAATTACAACAGTTTGCATATGTGCCTCCCACTTCTTAGGGGACCAAAAGTAATGGGACAGAATAATAATCATAAATCAAACTTTCACTTTTTCATACTTGGTTGCAAATCCTTTGCAGTCAATTACAGCCTGAAGTCTGGAACACATAGACATCACCAGACGCTGGGTTTCATCCCTGGTGATGTTCTGCCAGGCCTCTACTGCAACTGTCTTCAGTTCCTGCTTGTTCTTGGGGCATTTTGCCTTCAGTTTTGTCTTCAGCAAGTGAAATGCATGCTCAATCGGATTCAGGTCAGGTGATTGACTTGGCCATTGCATAACATTCCACTTTTTTCCCTTAAAAAACTCTTTGGTTGCTTTTGCAGTCTGCTTTGGGTCATTGTCCATCTGCACTGTGAAGCGGCGTCCAATGAGTTCTCAAGCATTTGGCTGAATATGAGCAGATAATATTGCCCGAAACACTTCAGAATTCATCCTGCTGCTTTTGTCAGCAGTCACATCATCAATAAATACAAGAGAACCAGTTCCATTGGCAGCCATACATGCCCACGCCATGACACTACCACCACCATACTTCACTGATAAGGTGGTATGCTTAGGATCATGAGCAGTTCCTTTCCTTCTCCATACTCTTCTCTTCCCATCACTCTGGTACAAGTTGATCTTGGTCTCATCTGTCCATAGGATGTTGTTCCAGAACTGTGAAGGCTTTTTTACATGTCGTTTGGCAAACTCTAATCTGGCCTTCCTGTTTTTGAGGCTCACCAATTGTTTACATCTTGAGGTGAACCCTCTGTATTCACTCTGGTGGAGTCTTCTCTTGATTGGTGACTTTGACACACATACACCTACCTCCTGGAGAGTGTTCTTGATCTGGCCAACTATTGTGAAGGGTGTTTTCTTCACCAGGGAAAGAATACTTCAGTCATCCACCACAGTTGTTTTCCGTCGTCTTCCGCGTCTTTTGGTGTTGCTGAGCTCACCGGTGCGTTCCTTCTTTTTAAGAATTTTCCAAACAGTTGTTTTGGCCACGCCTAATGTTTTTGCTATCTCTCTGATGGGTTTGTTTTGTTTTTTCAGCCTAATGATGGCTTGCTTCACTGATAGTGACAGCTCTTTGGATCTCATCTTGAGAGTTGACAGCAACAGATTCCAAATGCAAATAGCACACTTGAAATTAACTCTGGACCTTTTATCTGCTCATTGTAATTGGGATAATGAGGGAATAACACACACCTGGCCATGGAACAGCTGGGAAGACAATTGTCCCATTACTTTTGGTCCCTTAAGACGTGAGAGGCACATATGCAAACTGTTGTAATTCCTACACCGTTCACCTGATTTGGATGTAAATACCCTCAAATTAAAGCTGACAGTCTGCAGTTAAAGCACATCTTGTTCGTTTCATTTCAAATCCATTGTGGTGGTGTATAGAGCCAAAAATTTTAGAATTGTGTCGAATGTCCCAATATTTATGGACCTGACTGTGTATGTATATATATATATATATATATATACACATTATACACACACACACACATACACATACACACACACACACACATACACATATTTACACACACACACACACACATATATATACATACATACATACATACATACATACACTCACACACACAGAAAAAATCTTACAACATTAAATTCATTGTCTGTCTTATCTATTCAGCCATTTCCTCAAGAAATACAGATGCTAGTTAAAGTATGTATTCATAAGTACCACCTCTTGCACTTACATGGCTGGTATGTAATTGAGAAATGGGCTTGTTACTTGCAACCATTCCACACCAGTAGGACAATTGCACAAGCAACTTTTTTACTAAAAGTGATTATTTCTCTCCTCGCTCCTTTATTTTAAAATATATTTGCCTTTTTTCTTAGTACGAAGGCCCTGGTCCTGGAGCTTCTGGCAGCTGTGTGTCTGGTCAGGGGAGGGACATGAACTGATACTTTCAGCTTTCAATTATTTCCTGGAGGTAGGGTTGTGTATACTTCAATGACGTAGAAATAAAGGAAAGTGGCAAATGCTAATTGAAGATTTCTAGCTTCTACCTTTCTTCCCTAATAAAGCCATATCAAATGAATGCATGTCAAGGGATGCTTGGGTCACACACTTTTTTTTAACCAGAGAGCAGTTGTGGTTTTGTTGTTGCATGACCAGGATTAGTTTTCTGATAACTAGTGAGAATGGAGGAGTAATTTCCTTCCCAATATTTAGTTTCTAGCTCCCTCTCACAGTGGGGAGTCCACAAAAAAATGTAAATAAGTCTCACCATTAGGGACAGAAATGACAATAAAACTTTTTTTTTAGTGATTGCAACCCTTCCCAATGCTAAAGGAGTTCTTATTGCTATGTCACCTATGGAATGATTCTCCTCACTTTGGTCCTGGTGACACTACAAAATTGTAGGACAATATTCCCAGTGAGACATAGAAAGCACTAAAGGTTAACAGAGTAGTTTTGGTTGATATTCTAGAACAGGGGTCTCTGAACTTTCTAAAACAAGGGACAGTTTACTATGCTTCAGAGCTTAGGGGAGCCGAACTGTGGCAAGTGGGGACAGAAAATGCCCCAGCTTCAATGTGAGTAAACAATGCCCCATCCTTGATTCTAGCGGAAGGAATATCATCTCATTCTTTGTATTCAAGAGGATTAGTGTCTCATCATTGATGTCTATGGGCGGAATGGTGCCCATTAGATAATGTCCTGGCATCAGTGGGGGTAAACAATGTCCCATCTTTGGCATTAGGGGAAATATTAGTACCCCATCGTTGGTGTCAGTGGGAGGAATAGTGCACTATCATTGATGTCAGAGGGAGGAATAATGCCCCATTGTTTGTGTCAGTAGGAGGAATAGTGCCCCGCTGTTGGAGTCAGTGTAGGAATGATTGCCCCATTGTTGCGGTCAGTGGAAATAATAATGCCTCGTATCAGTGGGAGAAATAGTGCCCCCAGGGCCAAATACAAGTATGCAAAGGGCTACATTCAGCTCTTGGGCTGTAGTCCCAACCAGCCACAACAATGCAACCTGGTCTGAATTAAATGTTTAGTTTTGGATAGAGTGGGGAAGTGGTGGAACATGTCAGGTTTTTTTTAATGTCTCCTCACTGAGGAGATTCTGTGGGATGCGTGTGGGGGGGGGGGGGGGGGGGGGCATAGTCCTATTTCAGTAAGAGGGTATTTATGTTCACTTTTACAAGATTTTTTTCTCACGTCATGTATATAGACAGGAAATGAAAGGAAATCCCCTGAGCAGAAGATGGCAAAAATGACAAGGGCTTAACAATTTCTTACTCTAAACTGGCTTTAGATAAATATTCTCATAGCACATAATTATTCATTACTACTGGTGACTGTAAGTGTTTGCACAGGTATGCGGAGAAGGTGCAAGATTTGAAAAGTTAATGGAATATTTCCGAACTGAGGATTCCAATATCGACTTTATGGTGAGTGTGCAACAGTGACATTGAGGTGGAATACATAAAAGATACAGAAAGAAAAGTGGGAAATTGAGTAATAACCTTGAGTGTTTCAGCTGTTGCTGTATACCCATAAAGGCATGGTTTGAGGAGCTTTGTATATGTGAAAACCTGCGTTGCCTACATAGCTCTCTGACCACAACCCTACTGAACACCTTTGGGATGAGTTAGAACACTCATCGTCAGCCAGGACTCCTTGTCCAGCTTCAGTATCTGACCTCATGAATGGGTACACAGTCTCAAAGACACACTCAAAAATCTTGTGAAAAACCTTCTCAGAAGAGAAGAGGCTGTTAAAGCTGGGCAACTCTATAATAATGCCTGTGGCTTTGGTAATGGGGTGTCCAATGAATTCATATAGGTTTGATTAGCAGGTTTTGTAAAACTTTTGACCATATAGCAATTACAATGGTTGATAGAAGAACGTTCTGTGTTACCCACTGCAACAACGCTTAATTTACATGTTTCTAGAACAAATTGAAAAAGACAATCAAAAAAACCTCTACTTTTAGGCAAGTGAGCAACTGTATTGGTTGTGTCTTCCTTCCAGTGTTTTACTGACTACTACTATGGTCTTTTGTATCTCCAGGTGGCTTGCATGCAGTTCATTAACATAGTGGTCCACTCTGTGAAAAATATGAATTTCCGGGTTTATCTACAGCATGAATTCTCCCTCTTGGGACTGGATGAGTATCTTGATGTAAGTGTGCTTTTAAAGTTTTAAGCACCCAGTTACAATTTCCTACAGCCAAGTTGCTTCTTAAAAGAGACTCAAATCTTCTTTGCTACCCATTTCCACTTACAAACAGATCAGTTTTCTAACATATGAAGCAAGGCGAGAAATTAATTCCTTTTTGTGGTACAAAATCCATACATTGTGGTATTTACCCAATATCCAGGTTAGCAAAAAAAAAAAAAAAAAAAATTGTGTTAGGACGTATTTCAGTTGGGGGACAGAGGAGTGGGGGGTTCAGGTTATACTACTTTACTTTATGTAGTCTTTAAGGCTATGTTAGAGGTGAATAAGAGAGGTAAGGCTGCTCTATACGATTCTCTTACAATGTCTTCATGGAGTTTTGAAGATTGCTCCTTTAAAGCTCAAAATTAGGGGGTCTGTAATGTATTGGGCTCCACTTCCCATATTTACCTTTGAGACCACATATTTTAGGCTAGCACAGTAAATTAATCATTTCCTTATTTGCCAGGAGTTGAAGAACACAGAAAGCGAAAGACTCCAAGTACAGATTCAAGCCTATCTTGATAATATATTTGATGTGAATAGTCTTCTAGAGGACACCGAGAACAAACATGAGATGCTGGAGCATGTTGATGACCTACAAGCCCATTTGGCTCTTGTAAGTTTGTAACAGACATAAGAATTTGTATGAGAAAGGAGAACTATGGAATCTTATAATGTACCAATTAATCTTTATGGTGGTTAGCTCACAGAGAAGCTACAGCAAACAGAAAATGAGTACATGAGAAGAGTGGCCGAGCTAGAGAAGCAGTTGGACCAGACTCGCAAAGAGTTGAATGCTTTAAAGGTAAGTGTACTTTCTAGGGTTGCTAACCCATTTTCCCTACACCATGTGTAGAGAATGGTGTATTGGAAGATGTAGTTCTGGGGGCCTACGTACATCAGTAGGAACTCAGCAGGACACCCTGCTGATCCCTCCTCCCAGCAGCTAAACCTGTTAGAATTTTACAAACCTGGTGCTCTTGTGGGGGGGCTAGACTGTTAGGGGTAAATTTAGGCCATGCCTATGCAATCCCTTGACATTAAACAATTGTGGGGACAGAAGCTGATTGCAGGGCTTTGAATTAACTATTTGACTTAATCATTTCTTCCTCTGATATCCTTCAGGAGAAGCAAGCCTCATATGTTCCAATGGATACACACCAGGCTGTAAGACGTTTGAAATCCAGTGACCAAGGAGTACTGTGGGTTGAGCCTGCAGGGGACACATGTACAGAGGACATTGTGTCCACGGCCAATCCTCCAGCCTCACCATCAGCCATCTGGCTAACTATAATATCTCCTCCAGTCACAGCTTCAGGTGAAAGGTTTTATTCACATCCTTTACATGGCATTTATTAGAATTCTGTACGCATTTCATTTCATTGCGTTGAGGTTTATCAGTTTTTAAACTGTTTTGAATTAACTATTTAATATAATCTTTATTTAACAATTGAACATTTTATACAGGGTGTCTAGCTCCCAGCTGTCCCACTTTTACAGGTACTGTCACTTTTTTGGAAGCCAATCCTACTGCTCTTCCTCAGTTTCCCCTCTATTTAGTCTGATATATACCTATAGATCTCTATCAAAAAGTACTTTTTAACTGTCAGAAGTGTTAATTGCACTACACTTTTCATACAACGTCTAAATGAATGCATTGACTATTTTTAAAAGAAAATTTACTGCTGAAAAGAAGCATTTATGCATATTATTATTATACAGGATTTATATAGCGCCAACAGTTTGCTCAGCGCTTTACAATATAACGGGAGACAATACAGCAACAATACAGTTCATTACAAGAGGGATAGGAGGGCCCTGCTCCTTGGAGCTTACAATCTAAGAGGGAGGGGCTGGTGGTACAAAAGGTAATAACTGTGGATAGGAAGTATAGAAGATTCCGTTATTAGCTGAAGGTGGGATAGGCTTCCCTAAAGATATAGGTTTTCAGAGATCACCTAAAAGTGGGGAGAGTAGGCGATAGTCGGATAGATTGGGGTAGAGTGTTCCAGAGGATGGGGGAGGCTATGGAGAAGTCCTGGAGACGAGCATGGGAGGAGGAGACAAGGGAGGTAGAGAGCAGGAGGTCATGTGAGGCGCGGAGAGGACGGTGCATATTAATTCTTCCTGGTCTCTGTCATGGAGACATGCCAGGACAGTGTTCTTTGCTTACATCTTTTGTGCTAAAAGATGTCCGTCTATTTCTCTCAGAAAGTATAGAGGTAGGCACGGTACATCCTTGACTCTAGTGTCTAGATCATAATGGGTATTCTAAAAGGGCAAACACAACAATAGTTTCTTTGCCTTCATACTATTTCTCTATAACCTATACACTGTATTGGAGGGGGTCTCTTTAATTACTCAACTTTGTGTGTAATTTGAACTTTACCTATAGAGCTCTATAAACACATAAACGTGCACAAAAACACTAGACCTTCCTTGACAAGCAGCTGTAGGTTTGGAGAAAATGTTGTGGTGTAAGGAAAGAGGGTAGGTAGAGTAGATATAGCAAGGCTTATTTTTCACTCTTCCAAAAAAACCACCATAACCAAGATGAGTTCTTTCGAATTGTTATTTAGGCTCTTCTGGCAGGGTGTATATAAGTCATGCCTTCTGTACTGTTAAGACTGTTACCCATTTTATAGATGGAGGCTTTTATGAAGTGAGATTGTTTGGTGTTGTGGGATGCTTAGGAAGTGCTGAAGGACTGCTGAACCATATGATGTTGTCTCTTCCCTTATTGTGGGCTCCATTTGACTGCCTCTATACATAGCCAGTGCCCTCCCTGGGTGGTTTAAACCCTTCAGGCTACATCCAAGCCTTCTGCCCAGTTTCAGGGCTCATATATGCAGCAAGTGATATACACACCCAAATGTCTACCTTGCTAATCTGATTTTGGTGAAATGGGAGCATATAAAACATTTTTTTAAGGTGATATTTATAAAGTACACTGAAACATTTAATGCAGGCTACAAATGTTTTTAGGTCAATATTTTATTCTTAAAAAAACAACCTTTAATGTTTTATATATACGTTGTTATACATGAATTTGCATGCATATATAACTGCATGTGTGTGTATATATTTCTTGTGCATGAAAATTATTCCTAGAGCAATGTGTATAAGTAAAAGAGACAGAATAGTAGTAGTTTTATTTTTTCAGACTGGCCTTGTTGGATTGAAACTTCAGTTGGAGCTGTCTCAAAAGGAAGTGTCACTTCTCTAAATAATAGTAATCGCACTTGTGTAAATTTCAGCTTGGTCCAAGTAGCTAAGGAGAAAAAGAAAGACAAGTATAACCAACCCAAAGCATTATTAGTTGGCTCAATAGAAGGCTGCAGTACTAAAATGCAATATTTAATATTTTCTTGACAAAAAAAACTTGGTATTTTAGATGTGACAAGAATAAAGTAGGGAAACAAATACTCTCTAAGTTCTCTTTACTTATTGAAAGAAATATTGTTTTTTACTAAAGTACTTTGTCTTTTAAGTCATAACCTTCTCTGACGAGACGACTTGCACAAAGCCTAATATTAATATACAGGATTTCAATAGCGGCAATAGTTTGAGCAGTGCTTTACAATGATAAGGGGTACAGTACAGTTACAAAACCGTTCTGTACAGAAGGATTCGGCTAGGAGATTGTTGTTTTAGAGAGAAGAGGTAACATCTTGTTCTCCGTTTTCAGATACTGCTCCTTACAAGACAGAAGAATCTTTGGATACTTCCACCTCTCCTTTACTGTTGGCTCTGGAATCAGAGGTCCGCACTGTCCCACCAGCTCCAAGGTTGGATTGCAGCATTGTCACTACTGCCCCTTCAGAGACCACTATTCCGCCACCTCCTCCGCTTCCAACAACAAAGGGTGACAATACAGAATGCCAACAACCACTACCACTTTCTGATGTCAGCGAGATTCAACAAGTAACACCAATTTCTCCTCATTCAAGTGTTCCTCCTCCACCACCACCACCACCACCACCTCCTCCTCCGGCTGCATTAACCATACCTCCTCCACCTCCACCCCCGCCTGGTTTGATGAATGGCTCTCCTGTTCCTCCACCACCCCCTGGGGCTCCTCCTGCTCCTCCTCCACCACCACCTGGTGGTCCTCCTGCTCCTCCACCACCACCTTGTTTTAATGGTGGCCCCCCTCCTCCTCCACCACCTCCTGGAGGCCTTGCTGCACCACCTCCTCCTGTACCAGGTGGCTTAAATACAGGTACTAATGAAGATGACTATACTGTTAAAGAAACATAGTTGAGTGCTTTAAAAAAAATCTGGCCATGTTAGAGTCTGATTGTGCAATCTCCAGATGTGCCAACAATGAGAGTGTTGCTGATTGAATACAAATTAAAGCCAGGCTATACCAAAAATGTATTTTGTTTTCTGGATGGCACAGGGAATGGTTAAAACCTCCTATCAAGTTGTTATTGCTACCTGTGTGCTTATTGGGGAGAGGAATTGATGGCAAATCTACAACTGGCATATAAAAAATAAGTATGTAAAAGAAATTTACATTTATCAATTTCTCTAAATTGGTGTCGATATCAGACCCAGAAAAAACTAATCCATCAACTCCTCTACAAAAATATCAAATTGGATTTTATTTTTGTGTAAACGCTAGACCAAAAATGAACACATTTAAAATCAATTTAAACATCGCTAAGTCCTGCAAGGTTAATGTTGCAGCAATTTTTGGGCAGACTGGGCCTTAAGTATTGGGTCAACCTTCCTTGTGTGTCCACCTAGAGAGTCTCTAATATCCTCAGACAATCCTTATAGACATCCCTTAAAGTACACAATTTGTTTGAACACAAGTAATTCAGTATTTTATTGACTGTTAAATCCCAAAGTTCCTGTTAATATAATTATATGGCAATTCCTGGATTTCAAACTTTTTCAATCCTTGTATTGTAGTGTAACCTCACTGTTTTGTTTTCCATCCTTAATGTCAATTGCCTTCAGAAAGAGAGGTGTTGTGAAAACCCAATTTTTCATAGCTGCCAAATGTTATTGCACAGATACACTGAATATGTGCTGTTTGTTTTAATTTTGACCTGATGTAAACTTTTGGTTTGCTTTTCTGTGCCATTAAAAAAGCATTAAGCATACATTACTATCCTTGCCCTGTAGGCATGAGTATTAAGAAACCAGTGCAGACTAAAAACAGGATGCAAGTCTTTAACTGGGTGGCCTTGAAACCTACACAGATCTCAGGGACTGTCTTCACGCAACTGGATGACGAGAAGGTTCTTCAGGTAGGAAAAAGATGACCATGGTTTAATACAACATTTGATCCTGAAATTAGTGAAGCCATCTAGTGTTTTGTTTCTGTCCTACCTTTAGGAACTTGACATGAGTGATTTTGAGGACCAGTTTAAAACGAAGGCCCAGGGTGCAAATATGAACACCTTCTCAAAGAAAGTGAAAGCAGCACAGAGCCAACCAAACAAAATTTCCCTTATTGAGACAAATCGGGCCAAGAACCTTGCAATAACCCTCAGAAAAGGAGGCCTAACCCCTGAAGCCATCACTTCTGCCATTCAGGGGTAAGTAATTTGCCCTAGCCAGTAATTGCCCTTAGATACTATCTTCATTTGAAAGGAGGACACTAAGTGGAGAACTCAGGAATCCTCTTTTCAGCAAACAAGTATAGTCTTCCAAAGCACTGCTGGAGAAAAGAATTTTACAGTCAGAACAAAAGAATCCATTTTTCCTTTATAACTTTGCATCTGTTTCTTCAAAGCACATGCTAGTGTGATTGTTGGTTACACTTAACACCTTTGGTATGATGCAACAAAATGGCCTCTCGTGTCAAAGAGCTTGTGTGTTTTGCTCTTGTATTACAGATATGATATGCAGGCTCTGAATGTGGATTTCCTTGAGCTACTGGCAAGGTTTCTTCCGACAGACTGGGAGCGGCAGCAGATCTCCCGCTATCTGAAGGATGAGAAGCCTCTGGACCAGCTGGGGGCAGAGGACAGATTCATGGTCCACCTCTGTTCTATTCCCAGACTGGCTGAGAGAGTGAACACCATGATCTTCATTTCCAGCTTTGCCGACACCGTGGCTCGTCTTACGCCTGTAAGTATAAATTATTTGTTGATGCATATGAGATATAGAACTTTGATTTAGCTCTTAGGTTTAAGCTGAAATTCCACCTTTTTAAGGCTTGTCAAACTAGTGTTTTATGGGCTACACAAGTCCCTCAGACAGTTTAGGAATCTAAAATGAACTAGGTCCCAGCTCTTCTCTAGATGGAAACTTTGTGGAATTTTTATGGCCCCTCTCTATGATAAAATGTTGTAAATTGCAATTGTTATTATATTGTTTAACAAACTGCTGGAATTAAGTAGATATGGCGCTTATTAGATATAATGTTGCCTCTAGAAGCTTACTGTACTCAGTTTGGTCCATTTTTTCACTTCAGTTTGAAATGCTTGCCCTAAAATTACTTTCACTTTTACTTGTTTGTGACTGTAATCTGAATATTAGCTACCAGGAAGTTTTTAGGAGCTTTACCTTATTAGAACTGTCCAGCATTTGACTGTAGCAGGGGGACTGAGGATAACTCATCACCTGTCTGGTCTTCCACTTAACCTACGTGTAAACCCCAAGAATGAACTTCAAAAACTCATTAAAATGGAAGTCAAATACAAACTATATTTAAACATGCCCAGACCCCCATAGGAAGCATATTCTAACTGCCTTGTAAAGGAAACGTGTATACTTGCCTATTCTGAGGACTCTCCAGTCTGGTCACATGATTGGCTTCCAGCGTTGGCTTCAATGAAGAGAAGAGAGAGCCAGCAATGGAAGTCCCATAGTAAGCCATTGTCAGCAATTTCTCCTCTTAACTGAAACTGGCCACTGGGGAGATCATGTGACCGGAGCGCTCTGAGTAGGTAAGTATAGATATCTTTTCTTCTACAGGGAAGTTAGAATCGGGGTGGGAGCAGATTTAACTATAGTTCCCATTTGGCTGAACTTCTACTTTGCATCATATAAAAATGCATGCCTTTTTGTGGTATTTTTAGGTGTGAAAGAACCCTAATCCTCCCCTACTCTATCCAAAAAGAAAGATGGGTTTTAGATATACTTTAAAGGAATAAAGCATGAAGAAATGTGTATGTATTGTAGATGCTTTTTGCTATGACACATGCTTTATTCTATCATTTTAAATACTGACCAGTATAGAATGCAGGTACTATCCTGCTACTGGCAAATGGTTGCATTTCTAATCGGGCCAAGCTTCCTTGTAGTGTCAAAGCTTGCCAGTTCATCCCTATTGGCTCATTGCTATGACTGGATTGCCTCACTGGCCAAGAAGAATGTCTAGGGGGGGCAAACTTTGACATTACTAGGAAGCCCCAAAACTTTGTGTCTGGTCAGAATGTCCCTGCATTTGGCCATATGGAGAAGATTGAGAGGAGCCGTGGACTCGTCCCAAGTGTCTGCAGTTCATACCTGTCAGCAGATTTTTTTCTTTTCCAAGTGACAGAATATTTTTATGGGTAAGATCAAACAGGTGATGAGTCACTCAAACTTGTTGTCTGAGATTTTTATGAATTTCACTTCTTGCTTGAAAGGCTTTGTTGAATGCCAAGAATAATCAAGTTATGATTTCCGCACAGCACAGATATGTGCTAAAAACACAGATGACACATCAATGTCCTACCAATGAAAAAAGGGGATAGGAAGGGAACTCTGCTCATATGGCTTCTAGGGCACATGGAAACACAGTTGGTGAAGACCTAAGACAAGAATATCAACAAAACAGAAATATTTCTGCTCAGGCATGGTTTTATTTTCCTAGTATTTTCTTTTCTTTTTCTAGCAACTCAATGCTCTTATTGCTGCATCCATGTCAATCAAATCTTCTGAGAAGCTGAAAGGAATCCTGGAGGTGAGATATCATAACTCTGAGAAATTATATAGACTCTTGGATGGGCCTAATTTTGTCAACTTGTGTTTTGATATTTGTTACAGCTGGCACATGCAAAAGGACAGTGGCTAGATAGGGCAGCAACTGACGTTAAGTTACATTTAACCCCTGTGTCTCAAGCTGAAGAGTCAGAATGAAGCTAAAATTAAATAAAAGGGGGAATTCTCAATCTTTCATAACTAGGCCTATACAATTACACTATATGGCCAAAAGTTTGGAGACGCCTTACCCTCACATATAACAGTAAGCATGTTGGACATCATATTCCAAAACCATAAGTATAACTATGAGTCACCCTACTCCTTTACAGCTGTAGCAACTCTACTTTTCTTGCAAGGCATTGTCTGTGAAAACGTGTGCCTATTCAGCTAAAAGCGCATTGGTATTGTCAGGTACTGGTGCTAGAGACTTGCAATGGTGTTCCAATTCATCCCAAACGTTATCAGTAAAGTTGAGGTCAGGGCTCTGAGCAGTCCACTCGAGTTCCTCCGCACTAGACCCATATATTTAAAGGATAAGTTCACTTTGTTAAAAAAACAAAATAACAAACACATGTGCATTTATTTATTTCTAAAGGAGCTTGCAGAGCATTGGACCCATGATCAATCTCAGGCTCCTGCAGACTCTCCGCATAGCTGCCTGCTCATATCTCATATGGGCAGGCATTTACTTGAGAGCAAGAAGATCAATGGATTATGAGCGTGCTCGCCAGCACCCTTGTAGTTCATTGAGAACTACAAGCCGTCAGCAGCAATGGTTGACGTTACTTGTAGGCATTCATTCACCGTAAACTGTGGATGAATGACGTGGCTGTATGGGCCAAGCCTTGCATTACTGCACACTTTTTTCAAATAGTGACAGTGGGTGAAGAGAGAGGATCCCCCGCCCAATGTCACAGAATGGGGGGAGAAGCTGCTGGTGCTGGAATATCTTCCACCCTAAAAATGGGTGGAACATGTTCCAAAGGTGAATTATCCTGTTTTTTACACAGGGGCACAGACATACTGCAGTGGAAAAGGGCCTTCCCCCACACTGCTGCCACAAAGTTGGAAGTGTGGAATTATCTTTGAAAATGTCTTTGTATGAGGTATCCTTCACTGAAAACATCTGAATGCAATAAATTAGAGAAGTGACCATATATTTTTTTCCCAGATAGTAGGGTATGTGATGGTCACATGTACCCAAACATTTGGCCATATACTGTGTAAAAGCTTAATACTGATCATTCAGACGCTTGAATGAGCCCAGTCATAACTGATGTCTCATCGTTGGTGTCAGAGGGAAAAGTATACCCGCCTAATGAGAGGAATAGTGCCTCGTATGAGTGGGAGGAATAGTGCTCCAAGGGGCTGGAGAAAAAGGCAAGCAATGGGGATGCATCTAGCTTGTGGGTCCCAGTCTGGAGACCACGGATCAAAAGCAATCTTTCTGTAGCTATAAAAACACACAATCAAGGATCCAGCTACTTTCATAAGGCTGTCCATTGGATCCGTTGTGTTCTGGCTCCGTCCCGATACTATACAGTTGTGCCTCGTTTTTTTTTTTTAGATGTTGTTTTGTCTGTGTTCTCTTATACCAGTGCTGATCTGTAGCCTCCTAGTCTCCTCCTTTTTAATGTCTTTCTCCTGTTGCAGTTAATTTTGGCATTTGGAAATTACATGAACAGCAGTAAGAGAGGTGCAGCGTATGGATTTCGCCTTCAGTCACTGGATGCGGTGAGTGGAGAAGATTAGTTGAGGGAAACATGCAGAATCAGAGCTTAAAATGTTACTAAGCCCAGGACCCTGCATTCACTATATCTGGTCTTCCATAGTACACACAACATGGAAATGCAATTATTATAGTAAATACACTGCGCAGAAAAATTAAAGGTACTCTTTTTAATCAGAGTATAGCATCAAGCCAATTAAAAACTCCTGGGATATTGATCTGGTCAGGTAAGTAGTAGAGGGGGTTGTTTATCAGTTTCAGCTGCTTTGGTGTTAATGAATTTAACAACAGGTGCACTAGATGGGCAACAATGAGACGATCCCCAAAGGAGGAATGGTTTTACAGGTGGAGGCCACTGACCTTTTTTTCCCCCTACTCATCTTTTCTGAATGTTTTTCCACTAGTTTTGCATTTGGCTAGGGTCAGTGTCACTACTGGTAGCATGAGGCAATACCTGGACTTAACAGAGGTTGCACAGGCAGTCCAACTCCTCCAGGATGACATGTCAATATGTGCCATTGCCTGACTGCCATTAGGTATCGGGATGAACTCATTGTCACACCCTACGCTGGTGCAGTGGCTCCTGAGTTCCTTCTGATGCACGACAATGCTCGGCCTCATGTGGTGAGAGTATGCAGGCAGTTCCTGGAGGATCAAGGAATTGAATGGCCCCCATGCTCGCCTGACCTAAATCCAAAAGAACACCTCTGGGATATCATATTTTGGTCCATCCAATGCTGCCAGGTGGCACCTCAGACTTCCCAGGAGCTTAGTTATGACCTTGTTCCAGATCTGGGAGGAAATACCCCAGGACACCATCCGTCATCTCATTAGGAGCTTCCCCCGATATTTAGGTATGCATACAAGCACGTGGGGGCCCTACAAACTACTGAGTATTATTTTTAGTTGCAGCAATGAAATTTCAGCAAAATAGACTAGCCTGCTGCTTCATTTTTTTCACTTTGATTTTCGGGTGTCTTTGATGGGAATGAAAATTATCAACCTACTGAATTCAAACAATGGGACATCCTTATATTCCTAACACATTACCCAGTCCATATCAGTATAGATATCCAGCATGAGATTTTTTTCCCCATTAAGATTTGATGTGTTTTTCAAAGTGTTCCTTTAATTTTTTTTGAGCAGTGTATAAACTGCTAAATACCTTTTCTCATCAGCAGTATATAGCAGTCTTCTATCAGTCACCAGCTTGAGCACTGTTTAAATCTTGTAGGAGGTTTCATTCTGCTCTGACTTTCCTATGAGGCTGTATAACCCCTGACCCTCTGTTTGGACAGTGCTGATTGGGAGAGTGCATGTGATGAGCACAGGGCCAAAGAAAAGAAAAACTCTTTAGCCACACTGATATGAGCATGTGTAGAGTGACTCCTAGAGCTCTGTACCATCAGCAGATGGATTGGGGACAGTAGAAGGTGAGGATCAGAGAAGACAGGATCAAACGTCCTTTTTACACAATGTGGAGGATTACCAGCTTAGGTTCCACAGTGAGTATAACAAGCATGCTTTACTGTATATACAGACTGATTTTACTATTGCGGGTTTAGTAGCACTTTAACAGGTACAGGATATGACATAGAGGGTCCAATAAAGTGTCCAGTCAAGTATCTACAAATTATAGAAATTGATTTGTTCCTTTTAAAGTGACACTGTCCTTAGCTCATGTAAAGCAAGAGAGAAGTGTCACCTAATTATCTGTCCAACAGCAATATTTATTTTTACAAGTATCTTTATAGCACCAACAATTTACACAGTGTTTAACATATCACACATTCATATCAATCCCTGCCCTCATGGAGCTTACAATGTAGGGTTCCTATCTCGTATGCACACATAAACCTACTAGGATCTATTTAGGCAGAAGCCAATTCACCTACCATCGTGTCTACATGAAGTCTGGGAGGAAACCGGAATACCCAAAGAAAACCCATGCAAGCACAGGGAGAACATGCAAACTCCATGAAGGCAGTGTCCTGGCTGAGATTGGAGATGGGGCCCTAGTATATGGCAGGAGTGCTAACCACTAAGCCACTTCACTGCTCATATATACTCATTACCACAGTGCTCCTTTCAGTCACCTGAACAGGAATACTTGGCATTTCCAGGTATAGGAGAGCAAGTGACACTTCCTCCTCTACGACGAGACTAGGTGCCTTGGAAAACTTTCATTTCTTTCTCATAGGCCAGGTATGGAGTCTGTAGACTTGGAACTTACATTGGGCCCTTCTTTCCATTCTCCTAGTACAGGGGTGTCAAACTGGTGGACCTCCTGTTGTTGCAAAACTACAAGTCCCATCATGATTTTGTCCTTGGGAGTCATGCTTGTAACTGGGGCAGCACAGTGGCTAAATGGTTAGCACTTCTGCATGGCAGTATTAGGGTTGTTGGTTCGAATCCCAGCCATGGCACCTCCTGCCTGGAGTTTGCATGTTCTCCCTGTGCCTGCGTGGGTTTCCGCCTGGTACTCCCAGTTTCCTCCCACATGCCAAAGACATGCCGGTAGGTTAATTGGTTCCTGTCTAAACTGGCCCTAGTATGTGTATGTATGAATGTTAGTTAGGGACCTTAGATTGTACGCCCCTTGAGGGTTAGGGACTGATGTGAATGTACAATATATATGTAAAGCGCTGAGTAAATTGACGGCGCTGTATAAGTGCCTGTAATAAATAAATGTCAATCTTGCAATGCCTCATGGGACTTGGAGTTTGGCAACAGCTGGAGGGCCGCTAGTTTGACACCCGTGTCCTAGTAACACTGCAGTGAAGAAGGTGAGTACATGGTGGTAGATAGGAGCAGATCTAAATTAACCTTTAGCTTTGCCCCCGTGGGCAAAAAGGGGGTCATATTAAAAGCACAATTGCACAAAAGGCCTCAGTTATCACAGGTCCTAAATACAGTATTGACATCAGTGTTCTTGAGCCTTGCTCCACTACTTAGTGAGAGACTAACAAGCAGACAGATTTCACTACCCACGTGTTTGTTTTGGGCGGGGGTCAATGACTTGGTGATGGCAGCCTTCTTTTCATCCTTCATTTCCCTTAAAAAGTGAACCTGTGGCAAGGCAACGGACTGTACAATATTTACATACTTTGGCATTGGTGTCAGTACCTGTGCTTTCTGTATGACAAATGATCCTGTAGAATCTTATGTACTGTGCAAACTTCCATTTGTAGCTGGGGAACACTAAATGGATGTAGTTGTGGTCATCTGCTTCGAAGAGCACGCAAGCCTTTGTAACCGTACATAATTCTGTCTTTTTGCAGCTCCTGGAGACAAAGTCTACAGACAGAAAGCAGACCTTGCTCCATTATCTGGTCCGAGTGATCAGTGAGAAGTACGCTCACCTGGTCGGGTTCTACTCTGATCTGCACTTCCTGGAGAAGGCTGGCACAGGTACCTGAAGACACGGTTACACTGAATCTTTTCTAAAATGGGAAACTGACATTCAACCAAAATTTTCTTTTACAAATTTTTAAGGATTAGGGAAGGCGTATAATCTGAGTGATCCCATTAGGGAAATTTCCCTTCACCCTATCCTTATGGCACCAGTGACTGGAACAGGAAATGAAGGGAGATTTATCCACAGGATTACAGCCAGCAAAAACAAAGTTACCAGTTCTACTAAGAAAATTTTAAAGTAGTGTATGGTTTGGCTACCATTAACCAAGACAGAACGTGAGGGGAAATTTCCTTAACCTCATCCAGCTTTTTTTTTTTTTGTCTGTGTGCCCATTGAGGCAATGCTGTGTCTCTTCCTGTAATGTCTGATACGGGTCACCTGAACAGGACATAAAGAGAAATCTCTCAATACGGAAGCAAAAGCAATACAAAATGGTTAGGAAGGGTCATGTCTTGCTGTGTTTACATTGTGGAGATTTCCCCTCATGTCTTGTGCAGGTGATAAGTGTAGCACCCTCCTAGTTAGCTAGGGGCAGCTACAGTCCTGATTGTTAGAGAGAAGGGCTGAGTTGTACCCTGGGTGCAATAGTCAAGAGGTCAAATTGTGATCAGGGCTGAGAGATTCTGCAGGCCAGCCCTTCTTGAATTTCCCCCTATTCTAGAGCTTTGGAGGAAGCTCTAGAAGCAGTGGGTGGATCAGAAGACTGGCTGGCTTGTACTCTTAAGGGATCCTGGGCAATCCCCAACAGGAGGCTTGGCAAGGGGCCAGGACAATCTTTAAAAGTGTTTGAGCCTGCTTAGCAACAGGGGAGAGTTTGGGTGGAAGATAGAGGAAGATGTGAGGCTAAAGGCAGGAGCCTGGGAGGGGGCCAAGATGGAGAGGGGGCTCACCTACAGGCAGTGGAGCTGGAAAGGAGGAAAGCTCTGGCCATCATTAGGCCCCCAGACTGAGGGCCACCTGTACAGCAGGGAGGCGGGGGCCCAGATAGAAGGCCGGTTAGCAGCCGCCAACGCATCAGCAGTACAGGAGAGGATCAGGAGTGAGTTCCCCTGCACCCCCTGGGCAGATAGAGGAAGGAGCACTCTGGTGGGGAAACAGATACGCTACCTATCTGGACCTGTCCATTTCCTAAAGCAACAGGCACCAGATCCCCTGCTCAGGGATACCTTCAGATTGCTGGGTGAAGGAAGAGGGGTTCATCTAGGGCACATGTGTCAAACTGGCGGCCCTCCAGCTGTTGCCACACTACAAGTCCCACGAGGCATTGCAAGATTGACAGTTACAAACATAATGATGGGACTTGTAGTTTCGCATTAGCTGGAGGGCCACCAGTTTGACACCCCTGATCTAGGGTCTGGGGTTGTACATTAGGAGACGCTGGCTAGCTCTCCAGCAGAGAATGTGTTGCGGTGGAGGCTTGTAAATAGTTTCAGGAAGTTGTCCTCAGTTCCATTGGGCATCCTGTACACCCCTAACCCCATCCCAGTTCAAATCCCCCCCCCAAAAAAATAACAAAAAAAGCCTGTGTGAAGATGTAGGTTACCTACCTGTGCAGGGCTATAGGGAGACCCAAAATCCCTTGCAACTCCTAAGGGGGTAGTGATAAATAAGCATTGCACAGAACAGAATGTGACATGAAATCTCCTCAATGGATACACAGATGGCAATAAAAATAAATAAATAAAAAGAGGTCTTCTCCTTTCTGACATGGTTGGTGGAGTCCCCAGCATAGAAAGGGAAAGTTATAGCTAGAGATAGGCTTTAGGAGAGCACTCTGCCAATTCCGTGCTCAGATTATGCATGCAAGTCGACATCCCTGCCAAGTCATTGGCCTGCTGTAGACCGAGGAACACACTGCACCTGCATCACCAGATTGCCAAACACATTGACATCCTGTTAGAGAGGCTGCTTCTGGCCATGTGTACAACAATCTCTTTAATGGTTGGGTAGATCGCCAAGAAGTAGAGAAGACAAGTCTGTATGGAAAGCTCTGCATTACAGGGATATACAAGCGCAGGTCAAGAAATGTCTCAGCCTTTGAGACTTTCTAAACAGAAAATCAAGGATTACATACAAATAGCTCATTCATCACTAAAATAAATTCTGTAAAGAAAATCTTGTTCACTCTACTTCCAAGGTTAAAGATGTAGCTTGATTTTTGAAGAGTTCGATCAAGGGGGCTGACATTTCTCACCTCTGTCTACTTGGAACAAGTATGTAGACCACTAAATTCCAAGAAAAGTCAGGATTACTTATCTGTGTACTTTTCCCAATGTAACTATAAAATATCCATACCTAAACTTCAGCTTTAAAATCTCTCCAACAGGGACACAGACAGCAATAAAATCTTGGCACGTATTCTATTCCTCCCCAAGCATTTTGGCTATAGTTTGGCTTTAAATACAATGAAATTTAAACTCTTACTCTTTATTCAGTGTCCCTGGATGCTGTGTTGTCTGATGTCCGCACTCTGCAAACTGGGATGGAACAAGCTCAGAAAGAATTTACAAAGCAAGATGATTGTCGCAGCCTGAAGGACTTCCTGAAATCCAACATGGAGAAGATGTCACAGCTTTCTGCTGATGCCAAGACAGCACAGGTAGGACATCACCAAATCGGTACAAAGCAAGCCGTATGCATGTTACAAGGAAGCCAGGGTACAGTATATGCCAGCCCTATTAGCTGACCATAGTCCTTAGAAGGCCATTGTACAGAACATTGGCCAAAAATTTGCCCATGAATAAAGCCCTTTTAACAGTTGAGGTCCAGAGATATTAAAGTGAAGTCTGGTCAAACCCTAACTAAATTTATACCTGCTCTCACCCCCATTATAAGTCCTATAATAACTACCCTGTAAAGGACAGACATGCATACTTACCTAATCTAAGGACTCTTCCCCACTGGTCAGCTTCAAGGAAGAAGAAGAGAGCAGTGACAACAGTTGGAATGCCTGGATGGTGACGTCACCTATAGGCTTACTATAGGGCATCTGTTGTCTGCTATCTCCTGTCCTGAGGCCAGTGCTGGGAGCCGACCAGACCAGAGCACCCTTGGATTAGGGAAGCATACACATCTTTCCTTTATAGGCTAGTTAGTATAGGGCTTAGAGTGAGAGTGGGAGCAGGTTTAAGCTTAGGTTTTGGTCAGACTTCTACTAAAGTATCAGTGTGAGACCATTTTTTAAGCTATGGATAGCGTGGGAGAGATTGGAACCTCTACTAGACTTTTACTGCTATCCAGGACTCTGTTAACCTCACCATACACATTACAAAAGGACCATATTACCAACTTTGGATTTACCAAAACTATGTAATATTACGACCTATCCAAAGTATCCAATTAGGCAGACCTGTGCTTTACATAGTTGTAGATCTAAAGGAAATTGTCAGACTGCAACATGTGTAATGAGCTTTAGCGAGATTTCCCTTCACTTACTATCATAGTGACAACAGTTTTACCAGGGAGGAAGTAAAGAAAAAAAATCTGCAATAGGGACACACACAGACACACAAAAACAAAAACCTGTCAGGAGTTCTAGCCTTCCCTTCCCTATTTATTTCTGTGCTTGTCTCTATTGAAAATTTTGTCAAAACCATTGAGACCATGACACTTAAGCTGCCCATAGATGGATCGAAACTTGGCCGGTTTAGTATAGAACGGCTGGATTTTGATCCATCTATAGGCAATTTGGTTGTACAGAAGTTGATCTCTCGATTGACTTCTGTGCAACCAGTCTGTTGGGTTTTTTTTTGCTTGATCAGTGTTGTCCGCTATAGCCATCAACACGGATCACTGTATTCTGACAGTGGGAATCTCTCCCCACTGTCAGAGTGCATTAGCTCCATGGGAGGGATTCCCCCCATCAACACTGTGTGTGTTTATGGGGGAATCAACTTCTTTTTTTTTTTTTTTTTTTTTTTTTTTTTTCACAGCTTACCCTTTGGTTCAATGAAAAAAAGATGCATCACCTATGGCCTGCTTACTTGAGGGAAAAATCTCACCTCCCTGGAAAGCAGTGACACCTACCAGGATCTCTAATCCTTTTAAAGGACTCTTATATTTAAGCTGGACATACACTTTACAATGGCTAGAAGGGAAGAGGCAGTTTTTGTAATGAAGAAGTTATAAACCAGTTTAATGGCAAAACCACTGTTGTGCAGGGAATAATTGAAGTATATTTGCCTTCTGAAAGTTATTAATTACAGCAGCAAATGATGGTATTGGCTACAAACTCTAACAGTACAATGTCAGTCCTGTCCAATCAGGGAGCTCCAATTGTTAATGTACTGCTGACCTCTAAAATGGATGAGGCAGATGGCATTTTTGAAAGCTCCATCAGTGAGGCTCATTACCAACAGAGCAGTAATGGCCTTCCTATAGGATTTAAGCAAAGAACCATGAATCTGATATTAATGTAACAGTAGAATTATTGAAGAGCAGTAGGCATTCCCCTACTGGGTGAGTACACATAACCCCAATGTGCATTATTTGTAGAATGTTCATAACATGTTTTGAAGCATTTCCGATGCTGGTTTCTCCACTGCGTCCAGCTGAGATATCCTATTACTACAAAGCAGGTGTAAATTACTGTTCATGCACCTGCTAGGTATACCATTTAACCCTTACACTACTGGTTGTGAGTGGGTTGAACTTGACATCCCTGAGTGCTGCATTGCAAGAAATTCGGAGGACAATAAATACAGATTCAGCGGTAAAGGAGTATGAGCTTCCCTGGTTTATCCAGAATGTTAAAAAAAAAAAAAAAAAAAAAAAAAAAAAAAAAAAAGTTTAGTCTTTTTTAGCTATACCTGAGATGGGTCATATGGATCTAGCAATGGACTGTGTTCTCATATGTGGGTTGGTAGGCATTATACGTTTGCCCCAGTGTGACATTGGCAGCAGTCAGCTTGGTATATACATGTAATTGGCAGAACCACCAGTAATCCAGGTCTTTATCATGCCAACCTTTTTTCAGTTTAGCTGTTTTCTAATCTTTCTTTCTGTCTTATTCAGGAAGCCTATGAAACAGTTGTTGGGTATTTTGGGGAGAACAGCAAGACAACGGCTCCTGCGGTATTCTTCCCAATATTTAATCGCTTTGTAAAGGCCTACAAGGTAATGATCAATTTATTTCTTGAATAACAAAAACAAAATATGTAGAAACCATAACTATAACTGAGCAGATTATTACTCAATGTTGTACAATTACTGACTACAAGAAATTCTACTAAAATAACAAAATGGGGCAGAATGGCTGTTGTCTTGGGGTAAGCTATCTCTACCTTCACTCATGGTTTCACCCATCTTGTAGAAAAAGTGGAAATCCAGCACTGATGCAACTTAAGATAAAATCGTGTAACCTTTATTAACAATCCACCAAGACATAAAAGAATCCATTATACAGCAAGTTTGTGTTTCAGCCACAACCTTTGAGCCTTAGTCATAAAGATGGACTGCTAATAACAGTTACACCCAGGGGCGGACTGACCATTCGAGCACTCGGGCAGTGCCCGGGGTCGTAGCGGGGCCCCATGAAATGCCCCTGGTACCTTTTTTATAGGCTTTTTTTGAGTTTGGGCAAGTACACAGGGGCCCCATGATCCCCTATTGCCCGGGGGCCCCATTAGTTGTCAGTCCGCCTCTGCTTACACCATTCTATTTTAAATTGCATCGGTGGCAAATTTCCACTTTTTCTAGAATACCAGTGGTATGCACAGCATATGTCCTGGCATAGACAACTGAACCCCATCCTTCATACACTGAACGAGAGTTGTAGTGCCTGCAATTTTCTTTCGCTTGAATTTATTACACCCAAATTGCCCTTTAAAATTGGGACACAAACAAATCTGCCTATCTCAAGCCTGCTCTTGTACATGGCAATAATGCTCCCAGTTACTTGATCCTCTAACCATTGAACAGTATTTGCTTCCAAAACAGCCGCTCAACTTGTTACTTGGTCATTGGAGGAAAGATTGCCATGTGATCTGCATGGCGGTACTTTTTTCAGACTGTTTTAAGACCGCCTTTATAATAAGAGGACTGTACAGAGTCACATTTCTTCTCTATTGTCAGCAAGCAGAGCAGGACCTGGAGGCATGGAAAAAGCAGGAAATGGCGCCCACTGAGGAGAAGGCTCAGCCGGAGAAACAAGCACAGGTACGGTAGCAAAACCGTCAAAGGGCTTCACCAAGTGAGGACTGTAGGGGTCAAAAAAAAACATGAGCAAATGACATGCATTTAAAGTGATCCAAATTTTTTAACAATTGGTAATGATCCCTACATTACACCAAACTTTGTCAGTCTAGTGGGGGTTAAAAGCTACAGCAGTTATGTCAGTGATATTAATGAAGAGTAAGGCAGGCCATAGGGAGGAGAGACTTGCATCTTGGCAGGTTCAAAGGATCGGAGGAAGCTATGGACACACCATCTATTGTGTCCTTACCTATTCTCAAGCTTATCCCAGTCTGCAATACTCACTTCTGACAGCCATAAGTACTCTTTACCACCCCCTAGGGCAGAGGTAGGAAAGCTTGGCATACCAGCTGTGGTGAAACTACCAATCCCATCATGCATCTCTGCCTGACAGAATCTTGCAATGCCTCATGGGACTTCTAGTTTTACCACTGCTGGGGTGCCATAGTTGTTTACCCCACACCCTAGGGCAGGGGTGTCAAACTGGCAGCCCTCCAGCTGTTGCAAAACTACAAGTCCCATCATTCCCCTGCCTTTGGGAGTCATGCTTGTAACTGTCAATTTTGGAATGCCTCATGGGACTTGTAGTTTGGCAACAGCTGGAGGGCTGCCAGTTTGACACCCGTGCCCTAGGGTGTCCCTAAACAGTTCAAATGCCACCTGATTTTCAAATTGAGGACAGCTGTCCTATGGATCGGTAGTAATTCATACTAAATTACAAACTGGCATGAGTGAAATGATTCTGGTAAAATTAAACACTTTACCTTAGCCTCTAGATTACCATACTTTTTCCTTGGGCAGAACTTGCTTGAAAAAAAAAATCTATATACCCTTAAGGAAGAATTCCAGGTATGATTTTATTATAGATCATTAAATTGGTCAATACGGATGCTGCATACCATACCTGGCCAATGCCCCTGGAAACGGGAAATCACTACGCTACATCAGTGATCTCAAATTGCTTCTGGGTCCCCATACTGAGTGGCCGACTGATGGACTGAACACAGGAGGTTGGCACAGCATGCATAGAACACTTTGCATTCTTTCAGAAAATGCAAATAATCCTCTGAAAGGATGAGGTGGAAAATTCAACAACGCCGCCTTGCCTCTCTGCCTTATCCAATCAGAGAAAGCTTTGCTTCAGTGAATTCAGGAATGGCACCTGTGGTCAGCATCCGTCTCTTGTGTTCAGTAACCAGGAGTGAAGTCACTCAGCACAGGACCCGGAAGCAAGTGGAGATCACTGTTGATCATTGATGTAGTGATGTCTGCTTCTAGAGGTAGCGTCCAGGAATGGTATATACATTGGTCCAAGCTGGATCATTCTAACTTTGCATAATTTGGTCATGCCTGTAATTATTTTTTTAAGGATACCTTCCGATGTTACTTTTCAAAGTGTTTGTTTTCTCGGTCGCATTCTATTATTTGATGTACCTACACACACAAAAAATAGGTAAATTATGACAGTACAAAAGAATATTATTTTGGTATATTGCATTGTGGTTTTTTTAATTCACAGAAAAGAAATTCAAGCAACAGAACACAAAAACGGTGTTCGATATTTTTGTTGTTAGAATTCCAGGCTGCCTGGCCCCTAAAGCCTCGTACACACGATGAGATTATCCCAGGGGCGGACTGACCATTTGGAAACTCGGGCACTGCCTGAGGGCCCGGGGTCAGTAGGGGGCCCCATGAGATGCCCCTGGTACCTTTTTTATAGGCTTTTTTGGGTTTGAGCAAGAACACAGGGGGCCCATAATCCCCTATTGGCCGGGGGCCCCATGAGTTGTCTGTCCGCCCCTGTTCTCTCCTATCAAAAATGAAGAGACTAGAAAAAATCGAAATACAACTTCGGAAGTGATGAAATGTATTCTTTCCTTTCCAAGCATGCTTGGTCTCAATCACACAATTTTTTTTACGGACGACTACTGTACTGATTAAAACGGAAATGGTTTCCTCTGTTATCGTACAAGAGAAATTTTTGCACTTGTCCTGTTGGATAATTTCACATGAACTGTCGTGATTGGCTCTAGAAAGCTGTGGTAACTATCAGATTATCAGCAAGCTGTATTTTTTGCCTGATTTTCTCATCGTGTGTACTAGGCTTTAGTCATCAGTGATTCTGCTATAACTACATATATTGGTTGACTAGTATGCAGCAGCTTTCAGTGTAACTCTTGGGAAATTATTGTACTTGCAGCAGAAACGTTGAGGATATAGACGCCAAGTGATGGGGTGCTGCCAGTAGACATTTCTGGTATTGCCACTTTTCTGGTAGAATCATGATGCTGAGATCTGCTTAGTACACTCAAATGATTGCATCAGAGAGGAATAGTCTAGAGCAAGTACATATACTATAGATTGCCACCATGCTTTTAGTTCATATAGTAGGATGTGGTGACAGGGTCCCTTTAAAGCCCATTGGACCCTTAAAATCAACCTTCGTTTTGCCATTTCCATTGGATTTAATGCATTTTCCTCATTTACAACTGCACATTTTTCATATTACAGTCTCCACCTGGCAAAGCGGCAAAACCGCAAGTCAATCTGATGGCTGAACTGAACAAGAAGCTGCAATCAAAAGAGCCGCGGGTGTATGAGGAGAACTGGGCCATAGAGGACATCATTACAGGTAAAGAGAGATTGTTTACGGCTTGTGTCCATAAGTATTTGCTTTCATCCTCCTTTAAGTCAATGTAAATGCGAGGCTGTCACGTCCCTTATGGGAGACTGAATTGACGAGGTCGGCCTCACTTGTGTCACTAGCCCTGACCCCGCTGATGTTGGAACAGAGGGAGTCTAGGGACCAAGGGGACAAGAGCGCCAGTGCTTGTTGTTTGCAGCTCTTGCAGATGATGACCTTGGAAGGCAGATGATCCTCTGATTTGGGCACCGTAATAATAGGCAGAGCAGATTTTGTGGATTGCCAGACGTGCAGCAGAGCAAGGTACGTAGCAAGGACAAGAGACTGGAGCAGAGTCATAGGATAGCCAGGGTCATCAACAGTCGGGAAGAAGTGCCGTATAGAATCAGAAGGAAAAGCCAAAGTCAGGAACCAGTAGCAGGAGAGTAATTGAAGTCGGGTCAGGAACAAGCCGGGTTGGTAACGGAGGAATCGTACAGGAACAAACAGGACATGGGGAAGCTGAAGACCAGTCAGCACTGAACCTGAGCACTCCTTAAATGGGCCGTCTGGCACCAATCTTCGCCGTGCATGTGCGCGAACGCGCATTCCTGCGCGCATGCGCACAACCGGCAATTCTCCTGCGGGAATTCCTATGCGCACGTGCATTCCCGATCGCGATTCTTCTTGCTGGAAATCCCTTACAAAGTCAAAGAAACGAGCATTTTGTATTGTACGTGCTTGTATATATACCAGCCCTAAACCTATTTGTGCACGAAATTAAGAACCAAATACAATCTGGGCCATAGAGCATCATACCTCTGAGATATGTGGCACACAATGATCAATTATAGAACTATTTTTTTTTAGAAGTTCACAAAAACTTTTTTTTTTTAATCTCCAAAAAAAAAAAAAAGTGGGTATCAAGATGCACACAAATCCACTATTCCGATGTGAGAGCTACTGTGTATGCTGGGGGCTAACAGCTGGGGGCTACAGAGAGAATGCCGGCATATACTGATAGTAACATGGCTGACCTCTTGTAACAAAAGGCTGAGCACCTGCATATAGTACAAGAGCTAGAACTGCCTTCCCCTTCAGTAATTTCTGATGTCACTGTGAGCTCCCACTGTCGGACACAGCAGGGAGAGGAGATCTGACACTCCAGGAAGTGTCTGATTCCAAAGAAACACCGCAAAACAGCTACGTGTAATAAAAGGAGATTTGATGCTGGCGACAGGGTCTCTTTGTCGGGGAAAGCTATAACCACAGTCAGATTTTAATTGGTGTCTGTAACACTGCTTCAACTTTTCTGTCATCTACTGTC